CTACACAACCTTATTATCAAGTGCTCATTCGTGCATCCACCTCTCCTTGCTGGATTATTCACGCTCGAGTCGGCAGCTCACACCTCTCTCACACCTCTCTCACACCCACGCCGAGGGCCACAGACTCTGCTCCTAAAGGCATGTAGGGCACAGGGAGAGGTCCGGAAAACAGGTGCAAGAGAGAGACTTATGACTGCTGGCTGATATCATATGTGCACTATATTATGCATGCAGTGGGTGAAAATTTTAAAGTTCAATTTATTATGCGGGACTAGATGAATGACAACAGCTTGCCAGATTTGTAGTACTGTATTTGTATGTATGTATGTATGTATGTATGTATGAAGTTAGGGTTGTAGTTGACAAAAGAAATTGTTGGTTGACTAAAGGCATGCTCTGTGCATCTATTAATTGAATAAAGGGTTAGGATTAGAAATGCAGCAATTTAATACTGGTTATTGATAGCGGCATTGATACTCAAAAATGAGCTAGATCAGATATTGGCTTACAACTATAGGTTCAGTCGATATCCTGGCTGGACATATAAATTAATATAATAAAATCTGGTTGGCCCACAAAGTCTCGTCTTGAATTTCTGGCTGTTCAGTAGTTACTTATGGGTTAAAAAACTGTTTTACATATTTAATTTTGTATTATGTTAACCTTGTTACCAAAATATATGCTGTTATTAGTCTCTGCACTGACATCAGTTTATACTGAGTATTGGCAGAACTGCAAAACAAAATGCCATGTATACAGAAAAGGACCAGTAAGCCACATCTTCATCAATGAAAAGGCAGGTTAAAGTGTCCAGTTCCTCTCAAAACACTCTTTTTTTTATATTGTTTTGCTTGTAAGTCCTTATAATCTTAAGACATGAATTAGTCCAGTATTTTTCATTCATTTATTTATTTGTTTGAGCCAGGTAAAAAAAAAAAAAAAAAAACAATAGCAAAAACTACATCAACATGAATATACATGAATATATTTGGGACCTGGTACTCAAAAGGAGTATCAAAAACTGGTTGACTAAAACACCACTGACCAACTTATTGAGCAAGTCACTAAAGGAGTACAGTCCTGTGTAGCAGAATACAGAAATGTATGTGGATTTTTTGCAAAAAAAAAAAAAAAATTGTGGAGGAGAATCTCAAGACCCCCTTACACTTTTGAGTGACATTATTTTTTATTTTTTTGTCTTTTTAGAAAACAATCATGCTGAGAAAAAAGTAGCTTGAAGATTGGAGATGGATGACTGTGTTGCAAACTCTCTCAGTAGATTTCACAGCCCCATTCTGCCCCGTATACATACAAATGAGTTAGATCATTGTTATTCTATTTACAAAAAAGGGCATTGAATATATGTATTTTAGGGGGAGTGTTTTTCACAAATCTTTATACATAATCTTTTATTTCCTCTGCAATATCTTAACAAGTCTCACACAGTGGTCCGTAGTTCTTTTTGATCATATATCTTGAGTTCACCCCAGCCTTCCAGACACTTCTTTGTCCCAGATATATACTCCTAATCAGTAGTCCTGTCTAAACCTGTTCTGAGCTGGTGCATGCAAACTAACTACAATATGCAGAGGGCATTTTGAAGATGCAGTAAGGAGCTCCAATCTGTCAGCACAACCATACGAATACAATGGACTTTTCTCTGTGATAATATGAGATCAGAATAGGAAGGAAATATAAAGAAGTTCATAACTGGTGAATAATCTAGAGAGAGACAGTTAATGGCCATCGTAATTATAGTAATGCTTGTGCCATAATGATAGCAATTATGGAAGTCTCAGTTCCGCATGGGTAATGTAATCTGGACAATGTTGGTTAAAAAAACTTTGCCTAGGTATGGGAAGAAGCATCTAAGTAGCCACAACATTATGACAAGTTTATTTGTATAGCATAATTTGTACACAAAGTCATTCAAAATGCTTTACAGAATAAGAAAGCACAAGTTAAAGTTATACCCATTCATGGCACCTGTTTTGAAGTATTATCTAAAGTATTGCAATATCCTTTAGCCTTTCTCTGCTCCTTAAAATGCATTATTGTTTAACATTTAGGTGCTCATGATTATTGTCTGTCTCAAACCTCACACATATTGTTGTCACTGACTTTGTACACAGATCAGCCATTTCATAATGACCACTCACACTGACATTAAAGGGCAGTTCGGCATTTTGGACATAGGACCTCATTTCCTAGTGCGCCAGAGTGTTGGAGACGTGTGGAGACACTTTTTAAAATATTCCATCCAGTCCTTGTATTTGCAGAGGTCACTGGAGCTAGGCTAGTGCATGTCAATGGGCATAGTTATCCTGCCATTAAAAACACTCTTCCCCACTCCACAAAGCACCTGAAGCAAAACAATTATAATGCCAGACTGTCCATGTGAATGTCTGTGTTGATAGAAGAATTTTAGAAGTAAAACCAACCTTGCATTTGAAGGATTTATGTCTGGGCAGCAGCAGCATGTTGTACTTACTGATAGAAAGTTTGGCAGCGGCGGACTGATCTATGAGAAAATAGTCCCTCAACATTCGATGATTCATGCAATGCAAAGTTAGTTTTATTTCAAACATTATTCTATCGACACAGACATTTACATCTATAGTCTGGCGTAATAACAGATTTGCTTCGTGTGCTTTGTGGGTAAGATGGTTATTAGTGGCAGGATAACTATGGCCATTGACATGCGCTAGCCTAGCACTAGCGACCTCTGCAAATACAAGGACTGGATGGAATTTTAATAAAAGTTTCTCTACACATCTCCAACACTCTGGCTCACTAGGAAATGAGGCCCTATGTCCAAAATTACAAATTTCAATGAATATTGGCACATAACATTAATACATAGGCAAGACGATAGAGTGTCTTGCCCAAAGAAACAGTGCTCTGGTTAGATCTGGAATCGAACTACAGACCTACGGGTTGGTGGATGAAAGTGTATAAAGTATGATGTTGGCCTAATAGCATAACCACTCATTTTTTGGCCAAATGTAGTTTTTTGTCTCATTTTACTCTCCAGACTCTGCTGCATCTGTAGGTGTCATTGGGTCCTTCTGCAAAAAACACATAGACAGTTATGCTATGAGACCATAAACACTGCATTCAGACAGAAGCTGGTAGTAGTGTTTTGGCTAATCCTATGTATTCAGTCATAACATGCCATCTTTATACAAATGACATTTTGCAAGCAAAGGCCAATCTGTATAGAAAGTGCACAAACTTTGACAGCAATTGGGTTAACATACATATATATAGGACTGTATGAACACACTGAACAGACGGAGAAACGCTGCTTGTGCATTAAAAAGACGACGCCGCGTAGAGAGCCTCAGATGTTTTGACACCGCAAATCGATGAAGGGCCTGATGCCAAACCCTGAGCGACAGCACCGTGTGGGCTCAGCTTCCCATCTATTAAACAGGACAGTCCATTGTCTATGTGTCTGTGGGCTGGTCCTGGATCAGTGGAGGAGGAAATCACAGCGACCAGCCCTGTCACAGATAATGTATTGTATTAAGACTGCACAGAGAGAACCGAGACGAATCAGGCAATATGGGCTCTGGCTGTTGGCAGTAATGAAATCATTTGTGGCGTGGATTGAATATGAGATTTGACCTTTTATCTCCCACTAAAATGTGCTGTGTCTATGACGGGAGACGGAGTGTTTACATGAAGTACCAAATAATAGTGTTAGTGATTCTTCCAGTTCGAGCTTTGTCTTGCAACAAGAAATGCTAGATGGCTAGATTTGAAAGGCTCATATCAAACATCATAATCTTCTACTTTGCCGCTTCTACTTTTCCTGAATATATAAAAATGAACAGCACTTTTGAAATGCCGGTAATTGTCCACCTAAAATAGCAGCTCACAAATTTGGCAAAATATTGAAATATATTTTTTGAGGCAATGCTACAATTTTGTCATTTAGAGGGTTGATTGACTAAATTCAAATTAGTTTTGTGAATCATGAGTTTAATCTGCCTTACCCTTATTACACAAAACTGACCCATGCTTTGATGCTGTTGCCCCCTCAAAAGCAAACAAAAGCATACCTGGAGTTGTGTTTTGTTTCATTCATGCATGTTTGAGTAACCCTTTATGATCAGCATGTCAAGATTCCCAAAGCTCAAAATGCTCTGTTCCACCTTGTGATGTCATGAAGCAATCCCGGCTGTAGAAGAAGAACACAGCCTAAATATGCATTTCTTCTTTCTGCTGTTGTTTCATATAAATCCTATAATAATCTGATGATGGTGTAGACTGAGACCCCATTGACCAATTAATTAACTCAATTATTAAAGACCTACAGTCCTGAGGATGAAAACTTCTTAATGTAATAAAGTTGACATATCATAAAACAGTATTTTTTTTAATAATCACAGCATTGCCATATTATGATATTGTTCTTAATGTATTGCATATTGTATCAAATCGTGTGGGGCTCTGTAATTTGAAACCAAACTGCAAGGCAAAATCAATACTTGAGGAAGACCACAAAATCAAGCTTACTGTAAAAGATGTCTGGATTTCAGCTCAAGCCAGTGTCTCTTCCCTCCTCTGTGTAAGCCAGGACCTCTGTAATTATAAACAGACATTCCAGTTGAAATGAAGCAGACTCTAAAAGCACTGCTCTACCAGTCTCCAGGAATGCGTTCACATACACTATCCACATACACTATCTGCTCCAACTGCTTGACAGAAGAGACTCATGTTTTTGCACTTTCAATATGCACTACTCTGATTCAGGCTTCAAAGTTTTTATACTGAGCAAATTATGATGAACTAAAATGAGTTTGAAAATTATCTTGGCACTAACACGGCTGGGAACACAGTGACCTCGTTCCACCATAAGATAGAACTAATGGTTTTACAAGTGGGAAAGTAAAACTTGTGGTGTGTTTGTGGCTTTACTTGTACATAGTGTTAATGTTTGTAAATCCCATACTTTCTTCTGAATGAATAATGTCTTGTTTTTGTTGCTGTAGTCTCCTCGGTGGCACATCGAGATGGAGCCCTGGGCCAGTGAGAAGCATTCTCTGGAGGATGAAGCCAGGAGGTTCCTTAAGTACATCACGACACCTCAAGTGAGTACATCCAGAATAGAGCATGGAAACCTGACTGAAGTCTGTCGGGAGCCATTGGACCCCGACGGGCTCGTTTGGACTCACACAATATTAAGAACTTATGTTTGGGCTCAGGCCAGACAGACACATCAGTGCGATAAGACATTTGAAATGTAAAATTAAAAAACGCTTAGGCAAGTATGTAGGTAGCCAATGGGTCTGTTTCACTTGAAGCATTAGTTTTTGTGGAAAAAAAAGAAAATATTGAAAATATTAGGCTACCCTTGGGCCCGGCCTCTTGTGCTAACGTGCACTTGTTATTCCGTGTGTGTGCTCTGATGTGCTCTGCTCATCTGTGTTGATGTTCCGAATGCCTTTTTTTAGTTGATTAATACAAAACGGATTTTCCACACAAACAATATCCTATGTGTTTCATTAGTAGGCCTAGGAAAATAGTGTCATTTTAATTGTTTCAGGCTTGGTCGGACTCGGACACAAATATCTTAATGCCTATCGGGCTCGGTTTGGATTCAATAACTGCTCTGTCGAACGAGGGCTGGTCTCGGACAGAAAAAAAACAACCCGATCCACACTCTAATCCAGAGTATAACTGCTGCTTCCAAGACTATGATTTTGTACTGCACCCTGCACCCACTTCTTGTTTTCTAAAACATCTTTCATTATCTATACCAGTGCAATTAAAACCTCAAACACCAATGTTTTTTATGCAAGCCATATCTAAGAATCTTTTACTGCAGTCAGGACATCTAATCTGAGAAGAAGCTATAAAATCATATTTCTTAAAAAGTTAAAATGCTGCAATATAAATCCCATTATTATAAATCCTACCCAAAGGCAAGTGTCTTGGTGAAACTATTCATTAATCATCTGCCCTTGCTCAAAAGCCCACTTAAACTTTATTCCTGTATTGATGGACCTAAAGCTGGAGGTCACCGCTCTAGTTTTCATACAGTAGTTAATCAATGCTATAGTGTTTGTGTTCATATCAAAGTACATAAATCAATGTTATGATGCATTTTATAAAAGACTCCTAAAGCAAAGTGATGAGGTTCAAATCATTAACATGAATTTTTCATACATGGGCTATTGTTTTCATTACTAATTAATGTCATTATAGTTTATTAATTTAGGATCATGCATTATACAGACACTACCAGCAATAAGTGAAGTTAAAGTTCATAATAGTTTTGCAGAATTAAATGTAATTTTAGTTGTAAATTATAGCAGCTTTTTGTAGCAGGATTTTAAAGGTCTTATATTAACCAACATTGACTCTCGTTAGCTTGTTATTATTAGTCTGTCTACAACTCCAAAGCTCAAAATGCTCTGTTCTTCCTTGTGATGTAGTGTAGTGGTAGTTTTCACGTTAATACATCCTTTTACCTTTAGTTCAATAGAGACTGGCAATTCCAGGGTTGAAATTATCCAAATGATTCTAATGACGGTGTATGGAGTGCAAAAACACAATAGAGCACTTCGTGTATTACCACATGACATCACAAGGTGGAACAGAGTGTTTTCAGTTTGGAAGAAGAACTCCTGAAGCTTGAATAATTATACAGGCTTTGTGTGTTAAATATATGTGAATGAAACAAAACACAACTCCAGGTATGTTTGTGATAAATGAGAAATAACGTAGATCAGAAAATAGCGTAATATGGGCCCTTTAAGAGAGAGAAAGTAGAGTTAAGAGTGGAAAAAGTAGTTAATAGTTGAAGTAAATTAAATAGTATAAGTTCAGCTCTTTTCCTCTCCAATTTGCAGCTTCAAGTGGCTAAAAAGTTTCTTGGTCTGACAGGGCAGTCTTTAAACTTGTGAAGAATTAGCCCCAGGGTTGTGTGTTGTCTCTCACAAGGGGGGACAGGCGGAGAATGATTCTAGCGCGGTGTCTATCAGGGGCAGTGACAGGCGCGGGAGGAAGAGGAGGAAGAGGAGGAAGAAGAGGAAGAGGAGGAAGAGGGGGGAGAAGAGGTGGAAGGGAAGGAGGAGGGACAGGCTTAATGCTGACTGACACAGGGCCCAGTGGAGCTGTTCAAGGAGAAGGCCCACGACACTGCTGCTCAATCAATGATGGCTATACTGTTTTACACAAAGACTGTCACAACAAACACACACAAACACACACACACAAAGCAAACACAAACACTTGGGTTTGCTCTGTAGAAAGAATGTTGTTGTAAGTTCTGTTATTATGTGATATGGTGATAAAAATCTCTATGATTTTATCCGTGTGTGATTATGTGCTATTTTGCTGTCTGCTCAAACACAGACATTTTTCCCACCCACTCCCCCGTCTTTAGCCTCTCTAAAGCTCTGAGTGATTGACAGGATTTAACCAATCACAGTGAAGAGCAACCTTTCAGAACAAGTAGATTACTTCATTTATCTTATACTTTAAAGGTGCACTGTTTCTGGTGGAGAGTTCACTAACTACTTGTCTCCTTGGAGATGGTATTGCTTTACCTGGAATGTTCTTTAGTACGACATTAAACATATCCATCTAACATTTATTCATTATGGGTTTTTCTGTTACTCAATAATACAGTAATTCTGTGATTCTGAGAATAGTAGCGACTCTCCACAGATCTGAACTGTAATGTACCGTGGTGCTGATAAGTTTGATCTATACTGAAGATTCGAGACAAAGCAATATTTCCAGATGAGTAGGTGGCGGGCCATCCACTAGAAATGTTACGCAGTGCACTTTTAATACTTTTTTACATGAATTGTAGTTAAATAAAAATTGTGATATAGCTCCATGAAAATTATGCTGTTATTTTCCTTACAATGCACCTTTATTTTGCTATCTAAACACCAACATTTCACACAACCAAAATTATATGGGTCATACAACCAAAAAACAGAAGTTATCCAAACAGTCTCAAACTGTCTTATGTTTTGATGTGAAGGTGCCCTGTCTCTCGGAGGGAGCTGATGGTGCGATGCTTAGGGATGCCAAAGGAGCCTGGGCAGTGTGCTTGGACCCACAGTACAGCCTCACCCACAGCATCAAGGGAAAACACTGCAGGGTCTACTCTTTTGGGTAAGTACTATAAAAGTCAAACAACTGCTCTTACAATAGCGCTATAATCAAGAACTTTCTATGACTACAGTAACTTGAGAAGTGTGAAGGGTGTGAGGAGGGTTTGTACCCAACAGTTGAACTCTGAATGAACTCTTACACAATGAAATACAAGTGGAGAGCAGCTCTTTTTCTTACTTTGTGCAATATTTATATAGGCCTTGGAGATAGTAAACACGGCAGTATTGAACATCCCAAACCTGCCTGTCCAAAGCCCAAAACAAAATAACTTAAAGAGTCTATCTATGCAGGTGTAACTCTATACTCCTTTGTGCACGTGCATAGATCACCTCATCAAAGGTCATGTCCGATTTAGCAACCCTTAGCAACACTAAACAGATTACATAAACACTGAAGTGTGCTTTGTTCAAATGACCTAGTGCTTTGTAGCTGCATGATATTATTCACTGTTTGAGGTTACACAAAACAGTTCATGGCATTGAACTTTTATTATTTATTTATTTAAATAAATTATAAAGGTTCAATAGCACTACAGAAAATCAATACATACCATGCATTAAATCCAGCATGACCAGGAAGTGGGAGTTAGTTTAACCTTTTTCCTTATTGTGTTCAGAAACAAATGATTGCAGAATTTACATATTTTAATAATTGTTAGAAAACCACTTCGCTGTACTTTAGTAACATTTAAACGGTCTATATTATTCTATTTTATTATCTATGTTCTAATGTTGTTTCCTCATCAAATAATACCTGAAGTTGTGTTTTGTTTCATTCATACAAGTTTAACACATAGACTGTATAAAAAAATGGATTTAGCGAGTGTGACGTCACCCATAGTGCTCAGAACGACTCAAATGAAGCTCGTGATGATAATGGTTATAGAAATTTTTTAAACTGGCAAAATAGTGGAAAAAACACAGGATAAAGATGAAAATCACACGGCTCACAGTCACAGCAGCAGTCACAGTGAGAGGGGCCACAATATTCCAGTGTAAATCAATGGGAACCAGGGTCAGAAGGAGCCAAAAGAGCCTCATGTAAACTTCCTATTTGGAATGTGGCTCGTTAGCAATGTCCATTTATATATACAGTGTATGGTTTAACACAAAACACCTTGCAAATTTAGGATGAATTCTTCTCTCACTTTAAATGATTTCAACCCTGGAAATACTTCTACACTTGCCTGGAAAAATCTGCATTTCAAATACAGAGAGATATCCTTCTGGATTTCCAGGCAGCCTCTACTGAACAAAACTACCTTTATATAATATCACAAAGTGGAACAAAGGATTTTTACCTTTGGAAATGTAGACAAACTAACAAGCCTGGATTATTGTGAATGAAACACAACTCAGGAGATGTTTTGAAAAGGTAACAACATGGTTTAAAGCTCACGAAAATCAATTTTGTGCAAGTTAGGACCTTTAATATTTTAACTATTCACTTTTAACACATGCTACTGTAGTTGGTCTGCATGAGAAACTTCTTATCATACCACCAGTGCTTATATGATATCCTTTATTTGACCCTTGACCCCGTACATCGCCCATGGCAACAACATCTACCCCTGCTACCATCCAGTGCACCTGTGCTATCTTTCATCAGATTATTATTAAGCCGCCCAGCTCAATTGTCTTGCAGGTGGTCTGAGGGAATGAGATACGGGTGGCATGCCGGTCCAAGTAACTGACACAGAGTTGTCCAGTTGGTCCAAGTATCAAAGCTAACAGCATATTGAGACACTTTCTCTGTAACACAGCCAACACTTTAGGAACCAGCTGATAATGAAGCATCGCTACCATTGTGATTAGAATTGTCACCCGAGGCGTCACAGAGCAGATGCCACGAATAGGATTAGCGCATTTGCAAACACCTCTGAATGCTGCAAAAATATACAGACACAAATACACTTGATGTACTGCATTAGTGCAATAGAAACGCATAGAACTGTTCAATTAATAGTTTTCATTCTTGCTTTTTGTAGTCATTGGTTTATCCATGTCATATAATATACATTTTAATGGTGCTCTGTAACTTTTCTGCTTTTCATCTTTGCACTGTTTGCACTGTTTCTCCTTACGACCTCTTGAATATAACTGAGATATATTAGAATTACTATATTTCTATATTTTATTTTTACGTGTACATATACATTTATATAATTATGCCTGATTGACACCAGTCTCTTGCTATTTTTGCTACTTACTTTGAATTTATTACTACCATTTATATTTTTGTCTGTTATTATATTTATTTTGATATGTGAGCTACAGTGCCCAAATGATTTCCCTTTGGATTAATACAGTTTGTCTAAGCCTCCATGGAGATGTTATTGCCTGGAATATCCCACGGTATTTATTTATTTAGTTAGTTTTTCAAGTGCAGGTCTTTCTATAGCTAAAAATACTGTGCATTCTTTTGTGAACAGGCTTGTCTCTCTACAGATCTGACTTCTTGTCACTTGGCCGACTGGCATCAGCTGCTTGTTTCCAATGAGAAGATGGATTTGTTTTTGCCATGCTTTGAAAACAATATCGTCTCCATGTGAAAAAACAGGAGGCAGATCCTCCACCAGAAAACTTATCGTGCTCTTTTAGTCTTTCTGCATGCTTTTCAAACTGAGTAAACAAATAAGCATTGCTAATTTGGATTATGAAGTTTGATGGGTCTGGGTCTTTTTCCAGTCACTCTGATATCATGCCAGAACATACAGTAAACATGAGTCATGGCTTTATAAAAAAATACATATCATCTGAATATAACTCAGGAAGTGATTCAGGAGATGGTTATTAGCTCAGCAAGAACATATGGCTGCATATAGAAAGAGAAATGGCCTTTGTCCAATTTTTTTTTTTTTTTAATGAATGTATCAAGCCAACACAGATGCATAAAAAGATACTATAGTTTAAGTTTGCGTTTATTTGTAACTTCTTTTGAAAATAAGGAGGTAAAGGAAGGTTGGATAACATTTTTAAAAAGGTATTTGCTGTTGATTGCTTTGGAGAATTCCTTTTGGCTTCAGGCTGAAAATAATGTCTTTATTAGAATCAATTACCCTTTTCCACTGGAAAAAAATCTCAAACTCCTGACATGATATTAAAAAGTGCGAAAAAATGTCATTGTAACAGAATCTGCAAGGTCAGTTAGGAACTGTGGTATTACAAAAGAAGTACCTGAATAATAAATGCAATTTCAATGGGAGAGTTGACCTTCACTAAAACATAAATAAGTTTAAAAGGTCAGGGGTAAATGCTCTGTGTTTTTACTGACCCCTTGTGGCTGGAGTGAGAAGTTTATGATCTTGTGTTGCATAGTCATAAAATGTTTGCTTCCAATTCATCACAGAAAAGTCCTAATATTTAATTCTAATTATTCAGGTGAGTAATATCCGTATCACAATTATTTTTCATTGTCACTATAGCCACTCATTAATATCTTTTAACAAACCAATAGATAACATTCTGGCTTTGGATAGCCACTTAATCCACCCAATTCTTTGACTTGAGGCTCTCGATGAGATCGTCTGACCTATAATCCTTTTCCATTATAAAACTGCTGTGAACAAGAATAAGTCATACTTCATTAGAGCCAGCAAGAATCAGTAAGGATAGAAAGATCTGTATGTGTTAGCCATCTTTACAATTTAACTTAAGAAGTATTAGAGCAGCTTATGAGCCATGGTTATTAGTTTTCCAAAGCGTTTTTCAATCTGGTTGCCATGGCGCTGTCAACAGGGATCTCTGCATAATAACCCTACATTACCCTCATGTTTGAGATAAGATTTCCTTGCATACCTACATTCAAACCGCCATTTACTTTCTCTGTCTTTGCAGTCTCTCGGAGAAATGATATCCATGGGTTATTAGGACCGTTGTCATAGTGATTACCAATTTAGATCAAAGAATTATATCGTTATAATGCAAAAAAGTTCTCAAAATGGTGCATCCACTGAAGCTGAAGCTCAGGAATAGCTCACCTTCAAGAACTTTATGCATTAAAGCAAAATTGACGCTTTTAATTACAGAGAAACAAAGCCAAAAAGAAATACGACAATCAAACATTTGCGAAATATTGAAAATTGTAAGCACTATAAAAGATCTGCCTGCGTCTGAATCTTAACTTCTCCATTTGTGTGTTGAAAAATATCTGATGCGTTAAAATGTGCAGAGAGAATTGTCCTCCTGAGAGTACAATACAGCAGTAACAAGACACAGGGGGATGTGGAGACACGCGATGAAGATATGAAGAGACAGGGCTGGAAATATTACACTGGAAATTAATCAGCTGAGGGACAGTGGGGTGATGAGGAAAACGGCACAGATTTATTTGAGAATGCTAACTCTCCTGCTATGTGTAGTTATGAGCTTCTTTTGTGTGAAATCAGATCACAGAAAATGGTTGAGGAATTGGTAATTGTTTTGTGTAACTATATTAGAGTTGCTGGTTCACAGTTGGTTCAATTTTTATGATAAGTTAAATTAATATATGCTGATATATAAATACAAACCTGTATTTTTTATGGTACAAATAATTTTATTTAGATTGTAAAAGATAAAAAGTGAAAATATGCTCTGAATTAATCATTTGTGCCTGAGGTGACAATGTTTTGGCCTGGAAGCTTTAGGCTATTTAACAGATCCAAGTGAAGCAGGCTAATGCACATTTACAGATTTTTTTAGTACTGGTCTGGTACTAAATGTACATAAGATTTTGATTTTATTTCATAAACTTGACCCATCTGTGTCCCCAGATATGAGATAAACACGTTCATATTAAATAGATTTTTTTATGATAAGGATTCAAACTTCAAACGCTGATTCTTCTTCTTTTTCTTTCTTTTATTTTTTCTCAGAAAAATGGATTATGATGTACCATGTATTTATGTCGTAATTTGGTGTTTTGGTTCTCAAGACAATCTAATCTCAAAGCAGAATGAGTCTCGAGTTCTTTCATATGGGTTGTTATGTTCAATGCTGAATAGGGGTGTAACGATATCCAAGTCTCACAATACGATATCGTCACGGTATGAACCTCACAGTACAATATTTATTGCGATATTCTGGGAAAGCTCACGATATGGTGGGGTTGCTCACGTTAGGGATGTAACAATATCCAAATCTCTCAGTATGATATTATCACGATATACATCTCACAGTACGATATTTATTGTGAGGCTTAACAGCTAAAACTGTTAATATGCTACTTTTTCCTCTTAAAATGCCTTGACAAGACTTGATCCAAAGAATTAAAATTGCTTAGAACTGTTATTTCTTTTTGTAGTCTACACTGAAATGGAGCAAAGGATCATGGTCGATGTAGTTCCCTCTTCTTTTTATTACTACACCATATCTCTTAATTTAAGCAAAGAGACTTGTAATTCGATATATTGTGATGGTCCATGATATCATTGTGAGAACTTTGATGATACAATATCACGATATTTCGGTTATTGCTAGATCCATAATGCTGAAATCCAGTTGGTCGAATACCTAGTTTATGGTAGTATTATTTTTAAGACATACTCCTCCTGTATTAGTCATTACAAAAAGTTCAGCACGACCTCTTTCACAATTGTTACCATTTCCTTCTGAAGAATATTAGTATAACGAATTCCCCTCTCTTCATGTGTATTGCAGTCTAGGTGCAGACGACTGGTCCCTGGAACAGTCCCTGGTCAGATCTGGATGTGATGTCCACTGTTTCGACCCGAGTTTAAAACAGTCCCACCTACAGAAAGCTCAAATGTGGCTCCACCGATTATCAGTGGACTGGAGGGACCCCAACCCAGCGTTAGTAGCCCAGCACCAGCACGCCAACACCAAGAAGCTTGCCACCATCCTCAACGACTTTGGCCATAGACAAGTAAGGTTACACACAACAGGTACAAATATAATGTATCTGCAGAATCCTTATCTGAATTTGAATTTCATTATACTGTTAATGTTGTTAATAATGACAATAAAGGCTTTCTATTCTATTCTATTATGCCAAAGCTTGTTCTAGTTTGCTTGAAAATTTTTAAGGACCCATATTACGCTGTGTTCTGTTATTTCCCAATCAAAAACATACAAAAACTACCACTTCATGACATCTCAAGGTGGAACAGTGCATTTTAAACTTTGAAGATGTAGACAGACTAATTGTAAACACAACATCACGTATGTGAGTCAGTTTTGCGTAATATAGAATATAAAGTCTGCTTGTCTATTGTTCCACTGCAGGTTTATTACTAAGTAAGTAACTGTTTGGAAATTTGGTTTGGTTTTCAATAATCACACAAATCATCATTATTCAGACTTTACCTGCTCATTATCATGCTGGATGTTATCTGTTCATACTTAAAGAATCGTGTTAACAGATAGCAGTATACATATGCAATTAATCTCACCTACACTGCTATAGACAGCTCAAGGCCCTTAAGAGCACTTATACTAATAGACATGTGCATTTGGAGAAACAGAATGGCTTGTTTTGGAGAGTGATGAATGGGAAATGAAGGTCAGATATGATTCTGCACAACAATAATTCAATCATAACAAGACATTGTTCTCGAAATACCAATATACTATGTGCTTGTTAAGCCATTGTGTTGACATGATGCACAAAAAGTAGAATAGGACACGATTGTTCAAGTAATGTCTCCAAGGATGCTTCTATTGACGGTTTACTCTGCCTGCCACTTGTGTCCTCGAGGAAAGATCTACGTATACCGTACATTTTATTTTAGGTTTTGCGTGTCCCATTTACAATCTGTATTCAACCAATATTAGATTAGTAATTCCACCTTTCAACATCACATCAAATATTGGTATGGTTAAAAGGCCCATATTACACTATTTTCTGATCTATGTTGTTTCCTCATCAGAGAGAGAGACCCTTAGTTGTGCTTTATTTCATTGACACACAAACCCTCCATATTTAGGCTGAGTTACACTCTGTTCCACCTTGTGATGTCAAGTGGTAATACCAGAAATACTCCCTATACGTTCATTAGAACTATTTGGATAATTTCAGCCCTGGAATTGCCCATCTCTGCTGAACAAAAGGTAAAAGATTGCTATTAACTTGAAAACAACCACTGCATGACATCACAAGATGGAACAGAACATTTTGAGCTTTGGAGATGTAGACAGACTAATAATAAAGGGTTACTCAAACATGTGCAAATGAAATAAAACACAACTCCAGATTGTTTTTGAGGAGGTCACAATATTCTAACATGGCTAAAAGCTCACAAGAGTGAATTTTGTGTAATAAAGAACCTGGAGTTTCTTCTTTTTTTTTTTTTATAATTTCCTTTTTTCTTTTGAAAAGCTCATTTTGCATAGTTTGAGTAATGGACCAAATGGATGGTGGCCAAATGTCCTGATGCTGCAGAATTCTTCTTTAAAATTCAGATTGGGCCTGACAAATGGAGAAAGTAGCACAGTTCAAGGTGTTGGCGTGGGTGGATTCGTAATGTTATGGTAGATAACAGAAGCGGCCTGCTTTAAATGCCACATCTTTGTAATGAGCTTCTAATGCGAGTACACAGTGTGCCAGAGGAGCAGCAGCAGCAGGCGCTTGTCAAAGGTTTCCGTCCAAAAGAAAGTGAATCACCGGAAAAGGTTGAAATATGCATTTGTCGAACATTTCTTAATAATAGTTGTGCCATTGGCATCATAGGCTCTGCTCTTGTTCGGACCAGCTGTGTTTATTTTACTGCACCTATGAATATACTAGTACGTGTATTGATTATTGGTATTGGTAAATTAAACAGGGAAGTTTGAATTAAGACTTTGGTTTGGAAAAACTAGCAAGCGTGATTGTGTGTGTATTTACATTTGGAAGAAACATATTATATAATCATTGAGGCAATGAGTTGCACATAGAAAAGACTGCCTATTGACTTTGGACAAGGCAGCCATGGAAAAGAATGAGAAATGTAAACAAGAACTAGTTTAATTAAGGTCTGCAGATGTCATTATGGAAACCAGATTGTGTTGCACAAAAAGAAAAACATTAGAAAAATAGCATGTTACAACTGATCACTGTAGTCTGGTCACAGTTATTGTGCAGAAACTACGGTCTGTATCATTTTTTAATATTAGATATATTTATTACAAAATAGTTATAGATGATCTGATCTTCCTGCTGAACCAATGCAATCATCTTGGTCAGTTTATAATGAGGAAACAGTAATTTACTCATTTGGAGAACCACTAAGCCCATAAAAATAGTCTGCCTACAAAACAGAGCCTTTTTGGTGAATAGATTAAGTGGTTTTGAATGGAATTGTAAACACATGGCATGACACATTATTTACTCTAGCAATGTCCATCCACCAGTCACTCCTGATATGAGACTGGTAACCATGGTGACCTGCACTGTTACAGAATTTACACTTCTGTACCGTACCGAGGTCATTGTTATCAGTAGTACAATACTCCATAGAAAAGAAGCATATCCAGACTGGACTGCACTAGACTGGAATGGACAATGCTATCACAGTGTTTTGAGGGTTTATATCTCCAGGTGTTTGGTCCCATACTGATGGTCAATAAACTCCAGCGTCGTGCCTCTTCTCTTCAGCTTTCGGGCTACTACACTTTATTCTAACACACGCACCATCACATTTCTTTTTATATTCCAGGTGGATGTGCTCAAGGCTGACATGGAGAGTGCAGAGTGGAAAATCTTGGAGAACTTGATCCTGGAAGGAGTGCTTGCCTCGGTGGGACAGCTGCTTCTGGAGGTCCACCTGCACTGGGCCGGCTTCGAGGTCCCGGGAGACGAGCCCTCTGTTGTGCGCTATTGGTTCAGCCTCCTCAAAGAACTCGAACGTGCCAACTTCCGCCTCTTCCACGTGCACTGCGACCCCACAAAACCTCGAGTATTTCTACACCAGAATGTCTTTAACGCAAGCAGTGCCTATACGTTAAGCTGGGTGAACACACAGTGGCCGTGAATTGCGTTATCTTTTCTTGGCCTTTCTGTGCGATGCTAAAAAGCGCCCGGTTCTTCTGTTGGCCTTGAGGTAACCCCAGTCTTGTGGAGGCTCGCTGGAGTAATTGCCTCAGCAGATAGTTCAGCAGCTTGGTGCGGAGGTGGCTGGCTGCAGGTCAGCTCATAGTCACCGTTGCCATGTCACTGTGCCCTGGCCCTCTTCTCTTCCTCCATAGACACATTACTGCTGCTGGTTGTGCAGTTAGCTGGAGCCACAACACACACAGAATCAAAGAAGTAGAAAAAATGTGGAAATTTGTCTGAGGAAAGCTTGTATTTTCATCAGTGGTGGATGAAGTATCACATGAAAAAATCTACTTAAGTAAAAGTGTTAAAATACCAGTTTAAAAATGTACTCAAAGAATAAAAAGTTAAAGTATTTTAGAGATTTTTAGAACAATTGAAGGATGAAAAGTAGTGATTTTGATAAAGAATTTAACTGAGTTTACGTGATTGAATTGATTTCTTGTTTTTTCTACCTTTTTTATGTATTGGGTTTGCTCAAAGTTAAGATGAAAACTCAAATGTGCTAAAATTTATACTTTTCAGTCCAGATCTAAAATGCAATGGAGTAGAAAATGCAGATACGATCTCACGTTCTCAAATGTAGTGAAGTAAAACTATCCACTATAAAATGTACATAAGTAAAGACCAGATACCTTAAATTTGTATTTAAATATTGTACTTTTACTTTTATACTTCATTATTTTCCACCACTGATTTTTATATTCTTTTTCAGTCAAGATGTATTAATGTATATACAATTTGTAAAGAAATGTAAATATATATTAAAAAACTGACTCTTTAATGGAAGCCATTCCGTGAGAAGTAGAAAAGATAATAATTGAATTTCTTTGGTGAATCTAAATCCACTCAGCCTTTTAACATAGTGTGATGTAGAAACTTGAATGAAATGAACCACTAAGAAAAATAAATGTCACATTCTGTAAAAAAGTTCCTTTGATTGTACATGTTGTGGCCTTGGGTTCACTGTAATAGTGGATGATAAATGGATGTAGCAGGTAAAATGTACAGATTGTGTTTATTTCCACAAATGGTAACATCTGATTATTGTATTTGCAGGTTTACAAATCGCACAACATAAGCATTTAAAAACAAAAATATTGTTAAAATAAGTGAAAGATATGACTCGCTCATTACAAACTCTTGGCAATAGAAGCCACTTTTAAAGACGACATAAGAAAAATAAACCGTGTGACTGGATACCAGCCCTGTGGCCTTATATCAGAGTATTCAAATGGATCTTTTTCAGTCCTGCTCAGAGTACAAAGCTGTTCTTGGTTTAGTCCCAGAGTTTGATCTGTCCGTCCCAGCCACAGGTGATGACTTTGGAGGTCTCGTGAGGGTGCCACAGGGCGCTGATGCACACTTTGTCGTGGGCTTTGATCCGGTGATACAGTTTGGTGGTTTTCCAATCCCAAATGTTTAGTTTTCCATCTGCGTCTCCAGACACTACATAACTGCAAATAAGCAAAATAAGTTCAATACGGGAAAAAGGAGGACCGCCTTCGTATATTTTCAGTCAATTCTAAAGTTTCTGTGCCATGTTGCTATGGTGACAGAGGCACCTGCTTAGGAGTTGTGAAGGAGGTGAGATTGGTTTTAATTGGCGTTTTTACAAAAATGAGAACCGCTTCAGTATACCGCACTGTGGAACTCAAAGGCTGACTGAGACTGCTCTGTAAAGATGTTTTGACGAAAGAGTCTTTTTCACCAATTTCAAGTGGTTGACAAAATTTTGGTTATTTATCATCTGTTAATTAAGCTTGTTTTAAAGCAAGAAAAGGTAAATTATCAAGAAAAATACATTGCGGTAAACATGTTTTCCTTTTGCACATGCCTGACTAAAAGTTGTAACTCACTAAAACTCGTAATTTAAATACCAAAACTGCATGAAAACTTTTTGTGTACACTGAATCTATGTTAATGGCTTTTTCTTTTTTATTTAAACAAAATCCCACTTCTTATTGATGTGCTCTGGGAGACAGCGGGGCCCTTATACACACCTCATATCTGGAGAGAAGTCCACTTGGCAGGCATAACCCGCCACCATGTGCCCTTTGAAGACCTTCTTCTTGTTCAGCCTGAAGCGGTTCTGTGCTCCAAAGATAAGAATCTGGTTGTCCATGGACTGACATGCCAGCCACTTACCTAAGAGGAAGAATGATAATGTAACTCTACTCTTGCTTCCTATAATAAAAACACAGTGCTTTCTTAAACAGCCATCCAAATTGGCAGCATTTCAGGGCGGTAACACGTTGGGAGATGCTGTCAAAACAAGTTAGAGGTACTTATTAAATCAGCAGTTTATCATTAGCATCTTTAAGCTACACACAACGCCATAGTTCTGTGCTTTGATCGTGCGTCCAACCTGCCACTGAAATATTTGCGCCGCTATTAACATGCGGCCAACCTGGCGCACACACACAGCTCCAGCACACTGGGCCCTCATCACTCCAGCCAAGTATTTTAACAAGAGATTTGAGATAATTAACGAAAGAGCCTCAAGGACACTCGGCATTGTAGGAAGGGTTTTCTTTCTATTCCCATCATTGAAATGGAAGGATTAGCCAATAAAAGTGATTTTTTTAAATTATTATTTTTTTTATTTTTATCAAAAGGTTGTTCGCTTGAAGTGTCCTTAATAAAATCACGTCAACCCCAAACTATCAGCGCCACAATAAAGGAAGTCCTTGGTGTCAAATCATTACACGACTCGCTGCTCCTCTTGAAAGGAGGCATGATGGGAATTGCTAATACTATTTTACTACCTGGTTTAATCAAAAGTTGGATTCTGGTCATGTGTGGCTGGGGTCCCTTACAATGAAAAATCGTGGTCCATAATGTCAAAACACCACTGAAGAAAAGCATTTTGTAGGTAGACATTAGAGGTGGTTTGACAGAGAAAAGAGAAGACATTGTCAGAAACAGATGCTGGGGATGTAGTGCCAGGAGGGACTGCGTGCCATTTCACTCACAAAGGTATTCCACAGAGAATCGGTTTCAAATACACACAAATACACACAGAGACACACAGACTCATACAGACACACGCACAGAAAGAGAACTATAGCTGGACACAGGAACCTGGCACTTACAAACATACAGCTGGAAACTTGTTTTGTCCATCTCTGTTAATTTGTATTTGTTGAAGCGTTAAATAATAATAAAACCAGTACTTACAGGCTAAAAATCAAATGAACACGACATAGCCTCAAGCTATCATAAATTCTTAACCATTAGCTTCTCCCTTTTCTGGGACTCTCCCATAACATTTAAATATTAGCATTTGACACAGATAAGTAGATGAAACAGAACACACAGAATTACTTCACGTTCAAGTGTTTCTAACAAAATATTGATTCATACATGAAGGGTAGCTAGTAGGGCCGAGTAACTGAATTATCTGAGGTTATTGTACTCAAAGATTCTGAAAATAACTAATCACAATTGAGAAAATTATACAGTTGAAATGTCTTCTAAATGCCATGCACCTGTTTCTATAAGTGAAAAAGTTGCCTGTGGGTTGGAGCTTCGTACTACTAGAAAACATTCTTAATAATCCATTTATAGGAAGGTACATCTCCTACTTTAATTCCATTATTTGATCACTTAATTTTAAGCACACTGATGCACTACTGCCAATCTGTGCATTTAATCACTTGAATAATTGTGATTTCAATTATGAGTTTTTTGAACATTAACAAATAGCTGTGGTAACTTTATGTTTGTTTTCATTGTATCAAGTGTATTGACAAGGCAGCATATATTTTCCATTTGAAAAGAGTGGAGCAATGGATAATTAAATAAAGTGGGTAGCCTAGACAAATATTTATTTATCTCTGCTAGTGGCGGCTCTCATCTCCTCTGACATGTCATTAATGCAAAGTGCTGTCTGCTGTGCGCGCCGCAGTCAGTCGCACATTAAGACACTTTCTGCTTGTTTTAATAGAGAACACTGAGGTGAAGTGACAGCTGCACTGCGCAAAGCACCCACCCAAATGATTACAAACGAATCATGGGCTCATCGCCGTGACAACCTCCTCATCATGACAATTCACTCAAGTTACGGTTTTTGACACATTTGAAGGCAGCGGTGGTGTGTGGTAATTCTGATCTGATTTCTCCTGTGAATGTCAGTGCCCCGTTGTGATTGGACGACTCACCGTTGGGAGACAGTGTAACAGCTGGCATCGAGTGCATACTGGGCTCGGCAATGTATTTGAAGTCCACTGGGATGTCCCTGGGAGAAAAGAGAAATACTACTGTGAGGGATTATAAAAAAAAATATATATATACAGGGAAGAAAAGAGCAAGAAAAAACAACAACTAGGCCAAAAGCAGAACATAAGGTAACTTACAAGATTGTAGCCAACATTATGCAATTTCTGCCATTCATTATTTAAAGGTACGTAGTGTAGTGGAGGGTCTGTCAAACACTTTTGGATATGAAGATGTTATTGCTTTGTCTGGAATGTTTCATGGTATGGTATTTAACCTTTCTTTCTTCACGTAGAACAAATCAAACCAAGTTACAAGTCAGATCTGTGGAGAGGCAACCCCGCTCAGTCAGATTGCCTGTTTGTGGAGCTATAAAATCACCTGTAATTTAATAAATATAAGGTAGTGCTATTTAATGTCTGTGGAACATTCCAGGCAGAGCAATGACATCTCCATAGAAACAAGCAGGTGATGGACCCTAGCCGTAACCCTAACCCTCTACCTGAAAAGTTACACACAATTATTCAAGTATACTCAAGTAAATAACGATTTTGCTTTTGGAAGTTTGTAGAAAAAAAAAAAAAAAACCTGCAAAAACATTGTTCAACTGTTCCCTGGCACAAGTAGTTGAGTATTACAACTGTAAACAGATATTTTAGCTTTATACTTTTATTATTCAAATAAAGCTTCACTAATATCTTGCAGCTATGAGGATATAAG